TGTATTGAACGATACCGATCCCCCATATTATTTCAAATCTATGCCACGAACTAAGAATTATCTATTTCGAACACAGCGCACAGACCCACGGGGTTGATAGCTTCAGCTACTTTAGGCATCAATCAACTTTTTATTTAGTTCTGCCTTATATACAACGGATTCTGAACAGATGTATATCACTGTGCTAGTGACAATACCCACAATCGAAAGGGTTGTCCCTACTTTCAAAGTATACACTCTCTACAACTGCGAGCTACACGCATACATTTTCTGGCAAACGATTTTAATTGAACTTTTGTATTAGGCTTAAGCAAATCAGCCAAGACACGGAATTGGTGCTTTACGAAGATAATAATAACACAATGGCCTCTAAGGATATTTGGATTGTAAATAATAAACCGAACAGTGAATGCTTTTAGAGATTTTTACATACATATTTAGAATTATTTATCCATTATAGCGCATTTTAATGCAAACATTAGAGCTGTGGCTTTTACATCTAATACTAAAATTGACCTGTAGTTCAAACAGCGCACATCAGGCAGAATTTTTGAAAATACAAACATATATATATATTTGTTAAGCTAAATCGAGTTTATATTTGATATGAAAATACGGATACCTACACAATGTAAATAAATTACATCACTACTATATATTACATGCATATATTTATCTAGGATGGTAACGGCTGTACCAAGTTAAGTTTATATAAATATCTATATTCTTTCCATCTTTTAAGTTATGTTGTTCACTCAGCTATTCGTAGGTCAGTGAACCCTCTAATAATGTTATCGAAAAGCTTTAAATTTATTCTTAATAAAAGACAAGGCGCGTACATCTATCAAACAAACTAATAGTTTTTATAACAGAGTCTCCTACACATCTTCTTCGGAACCGCTATCACTTTCCTCCTCATCGCTGAATTGCGCCTGTCCGTTCTCGTCGTCCTTGGATCTGATAAGTATCATTTCCTCGTCACTATCCTCTTCCACGGCACTGGATTTGCCCTCGTTCTTCTTCTCCAACTTATCTGCTCTGTCCAGCAGCACTCTTAACGTATACTTGTTATAGTCGCAGCTGAAGAAGGAAACGGATTTAGTCACAAGTTTTTACCCAATTAATAAGTCATACTCACATCTTATTGAGCATTTCGTACTTTCTCGAAAGCACTTCGTGCAGGGCCAGCAGTCCCGTGTGCTGAAAGACTCCGTCCTGGTTTCCGTGCTTGGTCAGCAGACAGCAGCTCCATTGCAGATAGAACTCGATATGGGGCGTGGACTGCAGATGGCGGGCCAATTGTTGCAGCAGTCTCTGGGCAAACTCCGGCGACAGATCCGCACAAACCAGTTCGACTGAAGGGAGGGAGAGGAGCAAGGACTTAGTGTGCATGCAATGCAGACACGTGCTGGCAGAGCTGTTTATGGCCAGCCATTTGCATGTGGTGTATAATACGTATGAAAGTATGCAGGTGGTATTGGAAGGGGTTATTAACCAAGGTGAGCGCTGGGGCGAGGACCTTGAAACTGTTTATTAACACAGCAAAAGTGCAAATTTGCACATTCGATCGGAGAATGGAGAACGGAGTCAGGGCAAAAGGCGAGCGGAGTGTGTCGCCGCTATTTTTAGTCGCGGCAGGGCTGAAGGTTGCCAAAACTGACAAGGACTGGCCTCTGAATGCAGCAGGCGATTTAGCACTTTACTCACTGTCCTTATACGGCACTCGCTCCAGCACTAGGGCAATCAAATTGGGCTCGTTTAGCTTCAGGGACATGACCAGCGCCTTGGTGTAGTTCTGCTTTTTGAGCGACTCGTGGACCGCTTTCGGCGTGACCTCCAGCGATAGGTCAAAGGGATCGAAGACAACGCCTAAACAGGATAATAGTAGATGTAACATTACCGTAATATTGCTAAAAAAATTATAGCATACCCTTGTCCAAGGCATAAATGCAGAGTCCTTCAGATCCAGCTGCCGCAAATGCCTGACCCGTGGGCGAGAACTTCACAGAGAACACTCTAACCTCCTGCTGGAACCGTCTGGAGGACATGTCTCCGCTGCGCACTCCTGGCAATCTAATGGCCACCTTTCCGCCCTCCAGCTCCTCACGGTCTTCCACCAAGGCCATGTTGCCGAACTCACTCAAGTGCTTACGGCTGATAAAGTCCTGTCAACCAAATAAAAAGCTTTATAATAAATATATTACTTATATGTCTTTAAATACTTACATTAAGACCATCTAAGCTATGGTTTTGTGTGATTTCGAATTTCTTCAGAAGTATTGCCTCCCTTACGTGGTATATACAGATGTTGGCCGACTTTCCAGCAGCCAGTATGCACTCTCCATCCGCGGAGTACTCAATGGTGGAGAAATAACTAACAGAGAATGCAATTAATACATAAAACGTATTATTAATTTTAAAGACAACTCACTTGGCCTGTGCATTCTTTTTCGCTGTTATTATATCGGTTTCCAGGCGTCCTCCGCTCAGATCATTACGGCCTTCTATGGTAGTGACTTGACTGGCAGATTTGATGTCGAAAATGGTTATATTACCACTCAGAGTTGCAACGGCAATCTGTAAAGTAATCACATATTTAATAAAGTGAACAAGAAACCCTAACACTAAAAAACCCCTACCTCTTCACCACTGGGACTAAAAGTCACATTAGTTACATCTGAAACAGCGTCAATAGTTTCGTGCTCGCTGTTGCTCTCCAGACAGTTCCAAATCTTAACGGTTTTGTCCCAAGAACCAGACACCAAAGTGGAGGAAGTGGCCACTGGCGAAAATGCCAGGGAAACCACAGGTCCCTCGTGACCACTGATGATCTCCAGCAGCTTGCCCGTCTTAACAGACCAGAGGAATATGTCGAATACGTCCTGCCCTCCAGCCACAACAAACTCGCCTGAGTAATCAACAGCCACGCACGAAAACTGCGCCGGATTCGGTGAGGTAAAAGTTCTAAAGTTGCGGTATCTGAAATCAAAAGGGCATATTAGTTGACTTCACTTTTAGAAGCCTAAGGAAAACCCACCTGTTCACATCAAAAGCACGCACTGTGCCGTCCAGAGAGCTGCTGACCAGGAACTTCTTGTTCCTGCTGAACTGTATGCCGGTCACTCCGCTTGTGTGCTCGCTGAACGTGACAAAACAGAAGCTACTCTGCGTGTTCCACAGCTTCACCTTAGAGTCTTCGCCGCCGGTGGCTATAAACTGGCCATCCGAGGAGTAGGCAATGCAGGTCATCTCGCTGCTGTGTCCCTGCTGCTTCATGATGTACTGCTCGCTCTGCCACTCCCAAACCAGAAGTTGTCCGATCTCGCGGGAGGCCAGTGCCACCCAGTCACCCGTGCAGTTGAACAGGGCCGCCGAAATGGGATAGTCCGAGATGCTCAGCGAGTGAATCATGTTCACGTCGGGCAGTTCGTACAGGTAGAAGGCTCCGGAGCTGAAGGCCACCACCAGGACCTTGGTGCGAGTGTTGTAGTTGGCAGCGGTCAGTTGGACATCCCGCTGCTCCTTGCGCGGCTCATCGGCCAAATAGTGGCGGGTAATTTTCTTGTAGAAGAAGGGATGACCCTTCTTCTCGACCTCATCTTTAATGTCGTTGACATCTTCGGCTCCCTTGGAAGACTCCTCCTTGGAGGCCTCCTTTTCCACGACATTTTCAACGTCATCTTCAGACTCATTGTCGGACTCGGCCTTTTTGTCCCGCTTCCTTTGCGGCGGAGCAATCGCCGGCCTCTCTGCATCCTCCAAGTCCGAGGGAGCCATGCTGCATTCCCACAAACAGAGCTGTCCATTGCGACTTACGGTGTTCAAGTGCAAACTATTCGCCTCGAAGAAACACGCCACAATAGCATCCGTGTGTCCGCTGAGGTTATAGGTGCGGAAGTTGGTGGTATAGTTGATGGCACAGATTTTGGTGGAGCTATCGCGACAGCCGATGGCCAGGAGCCGGGAGTCCGAGGACCAGTCAAGCCAGGTAATATCGTCGTATCCGCCGAGGATCCTCCTCCGCAGGACGAAGGGATTGTACTCTCCGGTGATCTCACCCGGGGCACAGAATACTAGCACTAGATTCTGGACAGCAACGGCGAAGTATGCGCCGTTTGGACTGAAGCAGATGCACTGGACGCCCGTCTGGAACTTGTGCCGGTGTATCACTGTACAGGACATCATGCTGATGAGCTGCGCCTCGCCTTTTTCGTTGACCGCAATCAGCAGGCTTCCGTCTGGCGAGAGAGCAAGATTCGTGTAGTTGTATCGCGATTCCAGGGACAAGGTGCGCGATTTGTTGCTAGAAGGGGATGGATTACATTTAAGATATCCCTCGGTAAATGGACAGAAACTCACTTTTTCAAATCGTAGACCGTTATCCTATTGCCAACCGGACTGATGACCGAATTTCCATCCGGCGTGAAGACCAAGTTTCCATTGCGATATATTGTGCCCAACAGATTGGAAAACTGTGAGAAAAAGCATTAAGTATTTGTAGGGATAGTTCGTTGAAATAGCTTACTTTGTAGGAAAACTTCATTTTGCGGCTGTTTTCAAGCGAAAACCACGAGTTAAAATATAAACAAAAACTCCCGCACGTGTTGAGGTAAACAGCACATGAAGTGGAAAATATCCTAGCGCGTTTTAAAATGCCACAGCACAGTATTTACCAGATAAACGCAACGGATGGCAAGCCAGACTGGTGAAAAACATCAAAAACAATTAAAAAAGGGCAAGTAAAAGCTTATAGAAGAAAACTAAATTGAAAGCCAACGATATGGGTTAACAAAACTTGGTTTTAAGGTTAACATTTATTAAATATTATTTAAAAATAAAAATTAATTATAACTTAAAATTTTTTTATATTCCTAGCAATATTAATATTCAAGTACACACTTTACTGTTACCTTTTTCGTCACTAGATTCAATTAGCCGTTGTTTACTGTAGCAGAGTTGCCACTCCTGAAAAACAGCTGATATCCGTGGAGCTGCCAACGCCGTTTAATACCACAAAGCCAGATCGAAAACACAAAGGCAGATAAACAACGTAAATTCACAATTTGCAAAAGATAAATTAGTTTTCCAAACAAACAAACAATGGAGACGACCAAAACGGCAGCGGAGAAGCTGGCGGAGCGCAAGGCGCGTCTACTGGAACTGCACAAGAAGCGGCAGGAGGCGCGGACGGACAACCACCAGGAGGTGGTGGCGGAGGACGCCCGCAAGAAGCTCCCCAAGAACTGGGAGGCCCGCAAGCGTCAGGCGGAGTGGATCCTGGCGGACGACAAGGCGCGATCCGAGGCGCAGGCGGCGGGCAAGGACTACGAGCGTCTGAAGCTCTTGGAGGTCTCCGCCGTGGATGCGGATCGCATTGAGAAGAAGCAGAGGCGCAAGGACAATCCCGATCTGGGTTTCTCCACCTACGAGGCGCAAACAGCCAGGCAATACAACAGGCTGGTCAAGACCATGCCCGCCCGCGACATGGAGAAGTACGAGCGACAGAAACAGGAGCTTGGCGATGCCTTCTACGGCGGTGCGCACACCACTCTGCATTCGAGGACAAAGGACACGCCAGGTGCCATCAACAAAATGGTCACGGATCTGGAGCAGCAGATCGAGCGCCGCAAGAAGTACTCGCGCAGAAGGATCTACAACGACGATGCGGATGTGGACTTCATCAACGAGCGGAACTCCAAATTCAACAAGAAACTGGACAGGTTCTACAGCGAGCACACGGCCGAGATCAAACAGAATCTGGAGCGCGGAACAGCCATCTAAGATTAGTCATTCATTATTTCGTAACTATAAGATACCAATCCGACGAGTACCTAATTTACTTTGTCTATGTACATTACATTACATTACAATAGCAAAGCCAATAATACAAAATGTTCATTAAAATTTCTTTTGAAAATCTACGAATCATCCATTATTTAAACGCAATTAATTTGTTTAAAACCATTTATGTAAATTATCAGTAAAATACAAAAGGTATAAATTTCGTAAAAATATAAAAAATTTTATAAGTTTATCATTGGAATTTTTGTTTTAATTTGAGATTTTTAAATAATATAAAAATTATAAAACAATAAAAAAATGTTCGTTTTCAAAATAAATGTATGTAAAATATACATAGGTATCTACATAATAGCAAGTTGGCAGCTCTGATTGCCTGTCCAAAAAATTTTTTAAATCCGTAGCGATAATGCAGCAGTTCAGTGCGCGAGAAAAGTATTTAGTGTCCAACACCTTGAATTGCTGGCCCGTGATGCTGCAGGGCCAGTCCGTGCTCATAGACCTGCACAACGAGACCTCCGTGGCCGGGATCATCGACATAGCGGACGGGCACATGACCTGCGAACTCTCCCATGCAGTTTTCATCGATCGCAATGGAGGTCAGCATCCCTTTGACCACTTCATGGTGCGGAATCGCATGATCCGGCAGATACACATACCCACGCATTTGGATGCCGAGCAGGAACTTCGAAACGCCATGGAACGGGGTGTGCTGCGAAGAAAGCGGGTGGAAACCAAGGGAGGAAAGCGCACTTTCAAGCAAAAACGAGCGGAGATGCGACACAAGGAAACCCTACAGATGATCTCCCAGCAGAAGAAGGAACAGAAAGAAACCTAAACTATTATGTACATTCCCCTAAGCATGCTTATTTATTCGATATATGTTTAATATTAAATCCAAGAAGATTATCCTTCAAAATGAGAAATCCAAAAAGCCTAGACGCTATCATGTTTATTCATTCCAAGAATTACAAACTTCGTTTACCAGAATATCGTATATTCCCCTAACCCAAACTCTACTTAGCGGCCTGCTGCTGCTCCTTGTACTTGTAGTGCAGCTCCATGCAGTCGGTGTTGGAGATGTTGACCCAGCCGTCTTCCTTGATGTGATAGACGCGAATGATTCCACCGGAGTAGGCATCCCGGAAGGTGGCATGGTAGATGGCTCGGCGTCCCAGCTCCTGGGCCTCCTCGTCCTCCAGGTCCCAGTGGTAGCCGGAGTCCAGGACGCCGTAGGCGTAGAGCGAGCCACTGCCAACGGAGAACAGATTGCCGGGCGTGCGGGATCCCTCCGAGTCCACGTAGTACAGGCCAGGACCACGTTTGTCGTACCCGGCCAGCATCATGCCCATGCTCAGGCCCATGCCCTTGTACTCGTGGGCAATGTTGGCCATGATCTTGCTGGCGGCGGCCACCGAGATGCGCTCCTTGTTGCGCAGCTCGTGCAGGCGGCACTCCTTCGACAGGACCCTGTCCCAGTACACACAGTCGGCGGCGCCGCCGGCCAAGGTGCCCAGCATGAACTGGTTGATCTCCACGATCTTCTTCATCGACTGGGAGCCAATGTACGAGCCACCAGTGGCCCGGGAATCCACCGCCAGCAGAACGCCGCCCTTGAACTTGAAGCCCAGCGTTGTGGTGCCGTGATCAAAGTCGATTTTGATGCCGGTCTTGTCGGCATTGGCCTGGATCTGATTGAGGTTGTGCAGGGGCTGCATGGGGTAGCGATTATATAGTCAAATCCCTTTACGAATCGGGAAATCAAAGAACTTACATTCTCGAATGGCGGAGCAGCCAGTGTGTAGGGATTGGCCAGATTGCAGGTTAGCCCCCTCAGGTCCTCCTCCGCATCCTCGGACGACCAGGCGGTGGGCTTCATGTACGGAGCATTGGATATCTTGCAGATTTCAGCCAAAGCCATTTTTAAATCTCCTTTAAAACAATTAGAAAAGTTGAACGCAGAATGCCGATGACAAACAAAATTCGCCTACTTGTAGAGTGACCGTACTGCTTGAGACCTAATAAGACAAACTATCGGCAGTGGTCGATAGCCGCTGAAAGTACGGCAACCCTACTTGAAACCTGTTGCCAATTTTGCCTGTGATTGGCTTTCTTTTAGTCTCTTTTAGGCCTGGCTTGAAGCCAAATTATCTCTGGGCGTTCCACCAAACGTTGGCAAAATAGCGCAGAATCTGGGATTGGAAACGATTAGAAGAAAGCATGTGTAAATACGTGGGAGTGGCGAATAGCAATGTGTAACTAACGGCGCGAAATCGGGAATTGAAACTAGTGAAAAGTGAGTTGGGGATAAAGAAAACCGAGTCGCACTTCAAACCTGGTTTTTAGGCCTAGGAATTTGCCGTAAAGGTGTTGAATAAACAAGAAACCATATATGTTTTATTATCGTGTTAAATAGTGGATGTGGAAAGCAGACATATGTGTACCTAGTTTCTAAAAGGTGTTTTTGAAATCTCAAACCTTTTCTCGAAACGGTTTTGTCAACTCCCACTTGTGTTTGCAATTGCAATTACTACGTGGTACGCCATTACGTGAGGCACACACACATGCGCATACACAGAAAAAAAAACAAGATTAAAGATCATGTTCATATGATCCTAGGTCAAGTTTATCTTTAATCATATTCACTATGAAGACTTTTATAACTCAAAACTAAGGATTTGTCTTCAAGAGTCATACATTATTAACTTGATAGTTACTACTCACTAGATTGAAAGATATTTTTGTTGACTTTTAGAACTTTTAAAACTTTGATAAATTGGATAAATAAAAAAAAACATTATTTTTCAAAGTTTAATGTGTGCTTTTTTCCAAAATTGAACATGTTTGGCCTCATCTCAAAAAATGTTTCCTGTGTAAAGTAGGTGGCTTGTCTTGAATTTGACTGGTTTCTAATGATTTTCTCTTTGATTCTTTTAAACCTGTTGATACTTGATCCATTTTATTATAATAATTGAAAATAACAATACTAGTCATAAAATAGCAAATATAGATAAATTATTCCTAATAATAATTATTAAAAATCGTAGTAATAGAAGGTTGGAATTTATTTTTGGTATTAAAATTAAAGTATTAAATTGTTTTAATAAACAACTTCTTTCAAAACATTACAACAGACAATGCAGCATGGATCCTCCCGCATTCCAAAACAGGAAGCTCTTCCAAATGCTATCACCGGGGTGAGTTAGCGCACTCAGAAATAACAACGTTTAAACTGATATCCATTTCCCCAATTTAGCCCGATTCCAGCAACTGGACTTCGCTGCACGAGGCGGTAGCCGCCGGGGATGATCGTCGGGTGGAGGGTCTCCTGTTCAGCAATGCGGACCGTTTGGCCAGGGAATCCCTGCAGGGGAATACCCCGCTCCACGAGGCCGCCAGCCGAGGGTTCAGTCGCTGCGTGAAATTGATCTGCGCACCCCCAACACCACCCACTTCCTCGGGGGTTGGAAAATCAACAAAGGGGCAGAAGGACAAAGACAAGGAGAAGGACAAGGAGAAGAGCAAGGGCAGGGCAAAGGTGGCGCACCAGACCATCGAAGCCCTACATAATAGCGCCCTGAGCATCGCCAATAACGAGGGGTTGTCCGCCCTGCACTTGGCCGCCCAAAACGGACACAATCAGAGCTCCAGGGAACTACTATTGGCCGGCGCCGATCCCGATGTCCAGAATAATGTGAGTGGGAATAATAACACAGGTTATAACCGCATTCAACAATCTCCTTTTCCAGTACGGTGACACTCCGCTGCACACCGCCTGCAGATATGGACATGCCGGAGTTACCCGGATCCTGCTCTCCGCCCTTTGCGATCCCAATAAAACAAATCTAAACGGCGACACCGCCCTGCACATCACCTGTGCCATGGGTCGCCGGAAGCTCACGAGGATACTGCTCGAGGCGGATGCTCGTCTGGGCATTAAAAACGCCCAGGGGGACTGCCCCATGCACATAGCGATAAGGAAGAACTATCGCGAGATTATCGAGATCCTGAACACGCCGAAGAAGATCCGGAATCGCAAGGAGAAACCGAGTAGCAGATCGGACAAGGACAGAGATCGGGAAAGGGATGTGGTGGACAAGGGAATCAACTGGTCACCCTACGGATGTCATTACTTTCCCGATCCGCGCGCCTTTCCCTCGCCGAAACTGGAGACCCTGCCCAAGGATCCGCTGAAACCGGGTGAACAGTACTTTCTGGACTTGGCTGGACACATCCACAAGGGTCCAGTGAGCGTGGGAAATACCTGCTACTGCGGTCCCTTCTTCAGGCACATTGAAAACAAGCTGAACTGCAATCGAAAGAGCCTAAAGAAGTATGTGCACAAGACAAAGGAACGTTTGGGTCACAAAGTTCAGGCACTGGCCATCAAAACGAACGATCAGATCGAGCAGCTGACGAGGACGATGATCGAGGACAGGCTAAGATGCGAGAGCAAGAGGCAGCACCTCAGTGAGTTCTTGCGAAGGGGTGCCCCCATGCGATCCACCTACGATCAGCAGAACAGGAGCTCAAGGATCGAAAGGACGCTCTCCAGGTGTCGCAGTCTGGAGCTCTTGGAAAATAACCACGAGGTTGGCAGGCTCACCAATTCCAGGAGTGTGGATATACTCGAGGATCAGGCTGTGGAGGCTGTAGTCCACCGATCAGCGGACGCTCAGCTGGAGAGCGACAGCGATGAAGATTCCATTGAAGCTGGGGCGGAGGAGGACGAAGAAGAGGAGGATCAGGAGCAGGTTCAAGAGGAGGCAGAACCAGAGGAGGAAGTTCAACAGCTAGAGCACTCAAAGCTTGATGAACTCAAACTAGACTTCCTCAAAGTGTCCGAAAGATTGGGAGTTCTTTTGGAGAAAACCACCTTGATTATGGAAAGGGACAGTGAACAAGAGACGAAGCACCAGCTTTCCTCCTTATCGCCACCCTACAAACCCCATCCCAGAGCCGAATCTGCCCAACTGCGGGAAGATAAGGAAAGTGTTAATAGCCCCAACTACGACGAGTACACCAATGTAATGCGGCGCTACCCGAACTCCAGCGAGACCTCGAATCCCTCCCAGAACTCCAACAGCTGGGACTGGGAGGCCTCGCCCACGGGTAGCAATCCACAGGCCGATTACCACAAGTACTACCAGCGGATCGGAAGAGGGGAGAACATGCTGAACTCCGTGATAAAAGCCCTAAGAAAAGACGCCTCCTTCGCGGACCTGGGGAAAGAAGAGGTGGCTGTCAACGAAAGTGCCGAGCGGATGGGGGGCGATAAGCTGCTCTACAAGGAGCAGGCCAGCGAGGCAGCTGGTATCTCCAATCTGATGAAGCGACAGCCCCTCTGCTTGGAGGACAACTATCCCGCCATGTCGAATCTCTTCTATTCCAATCCCATTATGGAGTACGCCGAGGAAACGGAAGTGCGGCAGAATGGCAATGAAAGTGTGAATAAGGTGGAGATCCGGAACAGCGAGATCAAGTGCCTGAAGAGGCCGAATGCCGCCGGTCAGGTTCGGGATATGGTGGCCCAACTGCAAAACACCATAGACTCCAATCGGCAGGACTCGCAGACAGCGAATGTGATTGCGGCAAGAGCGCACTCCCGCTTGAATAACAACTTCCAGCACATAGAGGCCACCTCCTCGAATCCCTCGCCCACCTACAGTGTTCCCCACCGACACACTGCCCAGTTTGGCCTGCCCGAGAGACACATACCCAAAGATGCCTATTTCCATGAACTGCCCCACCGTCCACCGATCCCGCAAAACCCGCAGAGAAGGATCCACTCCGGCTACGTACCAAATGCGAATTTCTACCGCAACGAGGACCTATATGTGGAGAGGATTCCTCAGCCAAATGCTCCTGCAAGGCATGGCGACTATGTGGGTGCGGTCACCTATAGGCCCATTCAGTCCCCCACCTTCCAGGCCATTGTCCC